AAAAATCTCACCAGCAGCAGAAGCTCAGCCACTGAATTTCTCTTCTGCCTGCACAGACGCTTGACTTGTTGCATGGAAGGAAAAATAGAAAAGATATGGAGAAGTCCAAAGGATCCAGCAAGTTTGCCTTTTTGTTCTCTACAGATCAAGAATTGCTATGTGTTTTCTTTCATATTTACCTGGTTAAAATAAAGTCTTTGTACCCAGAGATTATTCATTCTATGTGAAAGCATCTCCAGGTTGTATTTTCCCTAAACAACAAAACCAAGCTGTTCAGACTGAGTCCATACACATGTACTACTGTCACCCAATCAGTCATAATGGAATCCAAAAAAGTCCCCACAGTGAAAGTGCTTTAACTCCAAGAACTTCCAACACTTTGCTACGGAAGTTATGCATATTCTTCAATGAAAAAAAAAAAAAAAGCAGCTCCAGCAATCAAGTTGTATTTTTATTTCTGTTTCTATTTAATATAAATTCAGTATTATAGCAATATTTACATGTTCTATCAGATTACTCAAATACTCCTAATTAGTAAAAAGCATTTTTACAACAATTATCAAGAGGTTTTACAATGCAGCATTTGTGTTTTCAGAAAAACAATTGAATGTGTAATAAGCATTGAATCAGCAGTCCCAAATCCACAAAAGAGAACACTGTCCCTCCTGCATGGTATTCCTGTCTCCCCATGAATGCAGCAACATTTTCCAGATATTGACAGCACGTTGCTATGGGTAAAGGACATTTTGGAAATACAGCAAATTGGAGCATCAGCTTTAAAGTTTTGAAACAAGAGTTTCATTCAAGCCACAACATCATTTTGCAGTTTTCCGAAAGCATACTACTAGTGGAAAAATCCTAATCCTGTCTAAGATAGTATGCATATAGACAGCATTCAATTATGCCTTTAAATCCATACTTAGCATGCTATAAAATGCTTTAAATTCAGACCTCATCTCTTCTCCCAGATGGTGCTACTCCTTCTGTCTCTTTTCCCAATCAGTCACGTCTCCTGAATTGAAACAGCCTCTTATTCTGTTGCACCTTTATTAGAGCCAATACTACCTAATTTCAGTTAAACACATGCCCATGCTCTGTAAAGTGATAGAGGTGTGTCCTGCCAGTCCAGCCTGAGCTCTATGAGATTCAAGCAGGTTAGTTACTAGGTTCATATCCACATCAACTGATGTCAACTCAGCATCTTCCTCTTCAGGTGCACGGCCAGTATTTTCAGATGTAGTTGCTTTAACACAACTTGCCTGTAGTAAGGTTTTAAGAAAAAGTTTCATTAACAGAATCATACACAAACTAAGACTACTGCTGCCATCAGAATGGACCACATACTAGTAAAGCTTTGTATTAACAGGGAGTTGGTCTTACATGTTTCAACACTTTCCATCTGACGGATAGTGAATGCCAGGTACTTGATCTGGTGCATGTGTGCATGGTGCTCCTGACCTACTGCTATCAAAATCAGAAACTGGAGTGCATATCTTACTGTTTAAGAAGTCCAGACTTTGTGGCTTAAACAAACAGGTTGTGTCAACCAGAAATGACTGCCCACAAGTAACAACTCTAACAGCCACAGGACATGACAGAAGTAGGCAAAGAAACCATACAATTGCTCCTCTTTCACCACTAATAACTGTTTGTGATGGGAAAAGTGCATCATCCTGCTCACCATCCGCTGGAGGAAGACAAACAGCTTCTCCCAAGCTCCTTCACATCAAGTGTTGGCCATAGCAGTGTCAAGATTTCATCGCTAGGACTCACTTCAGAGCTTTCATTTTCCTGAAATGGATTTTAGTTTGCACTGCCATGCCAGCACTGGCACCTATACACATTTTTACTGAAAATCCACATTATTCCTTCTATGCAAATAAGTAAAAAGACAAGCAAATCATGGGGAACTACCAGAGTGCTATACAGTATTAGCCAAAATAAGAGAGTAAACAGTGACATTCCTTGTTGTCTCCAAAGTGTTTTTCTCTTCCACTTACTTTGCTTTTAATGCTTATTTTGTCTTTCAATTCAAATATTCAGACCCCAAAAGTTGCACACTGGAACTCCAAGCAGCTAGCAGTCAAGGTATTTTGAACTGGCAAATGCTCAGATTTTTTTTTTTTTGCAATTTATTTTTATTTTTATTTTTTTATTATTTTTTATTTTTTTTATTGGATCATCTGGAGATAGTCGTAGCCAGCTCTGACTAAAGGAGACAGATTACTACTTGTTATTCACTGGGATTGCTTCTCAGTGAAGCTTAAACAATTTCTGCAGCCAACCAACCAAACGACTAACACCTTTCAGTCATCTCTTAACTCAGTTAGTATACCTTAATACTTATAGAACCAAGATAAATAGTGAAGCCATGACTTCTACTGGTACATAATAGAGGAATTAATACTCATCTGCAGAAGGCACAGCATCTATATGAAGCACACAAAGGAGAAAGGTTTTCAACTTTTTTGAGAAAGTCTTAAGAAAAACAAACTTGGTTGAAGTACTTGCAGGCATTATGTATTCACCGATTACATGTAGCTCTCACCTTCCTGACTTATTAACAGATTGCTGGAAGTAATGTTCTGCCATAAGCAACAACTACGAGTACGTCACAGAGCCTGCCATTTCTCCCCATTCAACATAAGCAGGAATGTAAGCAATTCTTCCTCCACTTGCCTTTCACAGCACATTTCATAATGGCTGCTATTCAAACTGATATTTCTTACTGAGAAAAATCAAAACAAGTTATATAGTGCTCTGCCATTTATACGTGGAGAACAATATGGGAAATGGGCCTGAGGTGCTTTCAGTCAGATATAAAGACATTCTGCTGCAGTATCACATAGTCTACATGAAAAACAAAGTGAATGCAGTAATTCCCACAGCAGGGCACTGAAGTCACAGCTGTATACATATTGTGAATAAATTGCACATGCTTGGAATTACTCTCTGAAGTGGTATTGTGATACTATAAGAATGCTCCCCTCTTCCAATAACTAGAAGATATAAACCTAACCATTCCAATGGTATTTCCCAGTTTTATAATCTACAAACCTTAAACAGTCAAAACCTCTTCTTCCCACTTTTCCCTTTCTAAAACCCGGAGTAAATAGACAAATTCTGAAGGGGAACAAACCACACACACCTCCTTTGAACAAATTCATGGATTTTTCCATAGGTGGAAACATTAGATTTTGTGTTCTGCTAGAAACACACAAGTTCAAGAGATAAATGATGCATTTTTTTTTTTCCCTGGAATGCATACAAAACGCATGCAGACAATACTTCACCTTAAAATAATCTTTTCCCTTCAGGCTACTGAAGTCTCTCTCCCACAGGGGACTTCTGAACACATTTCTCTTCAAAGATCAGGATATGCTTCACAGCATTTAGAGCACAAAATTTCAAATCCAAAAGCCTGTGTAAGAGATGCAATGATAAATTCTTGATATGTGAGAAACTTGAGCACAGCTGTAAATGGCTGCATTAAGAACTCCCCATCACTGAGCATCCGGTTCTGCTGTCCAGGAAGGAGAGACCAAAGCTGACTACAAGACCAAAATGGTTTATTACCACTGCAGGAAGAGAGATTCCAACTTCCAAAGCAAGCTACCATAACCTGACATGCCAAGTCTGTCTACAGGAAAAGTAACTGAAAAGCAAGCCATGGGAGAGACCTATAGCTCACCAACTGCTGCTCATGAGCAAGCACTAATACTGTAACTGTATTAATGTTCTGTGTTGAACTGCTAAGCTGCACAGCCTATACAAACATGCTGCACCGAGGCACAAGCTTCAGGGCAGGGAATTTCAGAAAAGAAAACTTGCTCTCAGATGTGGCTGCATTTCTACTTGGAGCAGAGACCAAGGGCACACTGAGCCTTCTGCATTTGCAGCAAACAAGTCTCACGCTGTTCCTATCTCAGATGTTGCTTACGCTTACTTTGTACTGCAAAGACACACTGTAGCATGTTCTACATGCTTCATGCCAGATTTGATGGGCATACATAGGCATGGGCTGCACCAGCCTTGAGACTTCAATCCTGCCTGGAATGGTTTTGAGAGGCGGAAGCACAGGAGTGCTCCATTCTGTACGTAGCCCCCCACAATACTGCATTTGCAGAAAAATCAGAACTGACAACTTGCTCATGCTACTCTGTAAAAAAGGCCATCTACAAGTAAAACCTCTCGGACCAAACCCCAGACAAAACTAAGTACAAAAATCAATAGAAAATAATCACCAGCTTCATGCCCAACTCATGGGCTTTGTGCTGAGGGTGGGATAAAAGGAGCAGCGTGTACCCATTGCTCCTGCCTGGGGCAAACTTCTGCTGCACAAGCTGTACATACAAACACTTGGTGAATATAACTGAAAAGCCAAAGCAAGAAAAAAAAACAACAGTCAATGCAGTGTAACTGTGCTCTGTGTGAGCATCAACTTTCCAGCAGTTCCATGCAAATTTCATTTTTAATCACCAATATTACCGACTTTATCTGAGATAGTATGTCAGATAGGCATATTTGCCTAAGATGGATGAGTCACTTTTCAGACTTCACAAAGAATATTCCAGGTTCCCAGCATCTCTAAATAAACGTGAACATCATTAACATAATACATTAAAAATGCAAAACAGTACTTATACCAAAAAGGTATATTTAAAAAAAAAAAAACAAAACAGTGTTAGGCCTTAAGTAATTTCCCACAGAACTTAGTAAGCGATTCCGATTCCTCTAATGCAACTTGTCCCTTAATTATGGTCATCACATGCTCATCTGAGGGAAGGGTGTGAAAAGAGCAACATGTCCACAGATCAGCAGGGTCCCGCAGGTAGAAGGCCTGGACTGCTGCAGCCACCAACGACAGGTGCTGCTCCAGCACTGCCACAATGCCTGCTGTGCACTCAGTGTTAAGAGGACTGGATTTTCTCAGGGTAGCTGTGTCACCCAATTGCAACACTGCATTAAGTGCATTGCAAGCCTCAAACACTCCTCTTCTCTGAACAGGCAGATCACGATGCTAACATTTTTCAGATAGTTAGGCCTTCAGCAGGTAGTTCCCACTGCTGCTCTTCAGTCTCCAACAGCAGAATGATGTCCAGCTCCCCCTTCTAAAAGAATAGCTGGCAAACAGAAGCATTTTCATCAGATGGGAATAGAACAGTGATACAAGAAATGCAAAGTTACATTTCATATATCAGGGAACTATGGAATAGCTTAGATTGGAAGGGACCCCAAAGCCCACTCAGCCCCAAATCCTGCCGTGGGTTGACTGCCCTCCTCAAGGCTGCCCAGGGCCCCATCTACAGCAGGGGGCATCTCCAGGTTTGGTCAATTTCATCTTTTTCTCTCCTTTATATCAGCAACACTGAAGATGTCCCTTCAGCTTGAGATGTGCCTCAAGAGAACCCTCCAGCAGAACTGTGAGCACAGGCTGCAAACTCTCACAGAGATCTCAACCCAACATCAGAGGGCCCAGGACTAGAAGATGCTGTATGGCAATATGCTTAGAAACCCATACTGTTGGCTAAAGTAAGCCTTAAGACCTGATCTCACCAACAACAGCCAGAAAACCTGAATTTTCAGCAGCTAAAGATGTGAGGGTGTTGAAAAAGGCACCCGATAGTTTGCAGCAGGCCACCTGCTGTTGCACTCACCCTGTTCTCAGGACTCGCCACTTCAGACAGAAATCAGCTGCTTCTATCAGCAGTAGCCTTTAGGTTTCACCTCAGCACAGTATCATTCCACACAATCTCTTTTTGAGGCATCAGTGCATAGTTTTGTCCTGCTCTCAGCTCACATATAGCCTGGGTTACCTAATTCTACAGCAGAAACAAAGGGGGAAAGGACAAAAATAATTCCTAATTAGAACTGGAACTAGAAATAGCATCCAGCTTCACGAAAGTAATCAGGGAGAAAGTTCACGTTCTGCTTTACCACTGGATGTCTTGTACCATTGCGGCAAATGAACAGACAGCTATAACAGAAAAAGCCTTACAACAAAGAAATGATGATGGAAGAACTAGCACAACTGACAGGAGAAATAAAAAAGTGGAAAAATTGCTCACCCATAACAGAAGATCCTAGGATTGCTGGAAAAACCTTTACCAAGGAGGGATCTTCAGAAAGAGATCCTTTCCTAGTGGCAGTCAGCCCTTAAATGAGGTCTAAGAGAGGTACAGCCAGGCTCCACCCCATTTGGTCACACAGCTGAATTGCCTTCACCTGTGCTCCCAGGACAACCCCGGTCCTTTCCCCAGATGCTCATTCAGTGGTTGAGGCCGTGACTCAACAGTTACCATACAACCATCAAGGCCATCAGGAGTCAGAGCTAATACAGCTAAATGCATGCTATGCTTTTTGCATAAATGTTTCTTGAATAAATAATGTACGCCATGGAAAATTCTACATAAGCATTGCAACAAGCTATTCTATACCAGGAACTGGACTCCATCCTTACACGTCCCTTCCAACTCAGAACATTCTACTACAACTCAGAGGTTTTTGTTTTGTTTTGTTTTTGTTTGTTTTCTGTTTTTACAGAAAAACACTCGCTTATGTATTTTTCTGCGATCGCGTTGTTGGCTTCTGTTTTATTTTTTCTTCCTTCATTTCCCCCCCCCCCCCCCAATATGTGCATCTCATTGAGTGTGAAATCTCAAAGGAATGGGATTAGCCTTCTGTTACTCCAACTGATGATGGGAATTCCTGGTCTGCTTGTCCGACTCACGCAGCCACCTCCACTGAGGACAGCCCCATCTTCTCTTGGGGCTATGATGTGACACCTTTTTGAGATGTTTCTAGTAACTTGAAACCTGATAATGGGTGGGCAAATGGAAAAGAGTCATCTCTGCTTTTGGCACTCAAGGTTTCTGTTTTGCCTGTCACCTTCCTTGTTTTTCTTCTTTGCCTCTCATTGTATGTTTTCGGTTAAAAAACAGCAAAGCAAAATCTTTGATCTTTCAGTATCTCATATTCAATCTTTTCCACTGAGAAAGGGATCTATCTAGTTATGGTCGTTGGATGATTTTTTTTTTATTTTTATTTTTTTTAAAATACATGTAAGCAATAGGAAGATGATAAAAATCCTCAGGATACAGAAGAGGAGTGGAGCCTCTTTTAGAGAACAGTGGTAGAGAAATTATTCCAGTTCTCTCTGTAAGGATGCTGTAGTATTGCTCTCCTCAGGGCAGAGTTCTACCTGAAGAGATTTCTTGAACACTAAAATATGTTGTTCATTCTTCAGTTCAGGAAGTGTTGTTAACTTTACTTGCTGGCAATCCTTTTTATAGCAATTACTATGGCCATAGCAGTCCTCTGTACATCATCTTTATCTATTCTTGATGCTGAAGCTTTGATTGTGAGTACCAATAATATACCTACAAGGCTGGTACGAGCTTCCTGTCTCTCAGGACTCCCTTGTCACTCTTGGTAGCTGCAGGTACTGAAGTTTCTTGTACATTCTCTTTTACTCTATCATTTTCTCTCATACTGCTTGTGCTCAGTCCTCCCTTTAATTATACTCTCTTTGGCTCTTATTTTTTCCTAAAGAAGTCTACTCTGTTGCACATTTGATACTCAAAAAAGCAAGCCTCTCTTTCTGGAACTAACAGTATTTTCCTTTAGCTACGCCTCCAGCATCACATATTTCTCCCTTTCTTATTTAAACTTACTGAATTCACATATGAGCACTTACACACTGAAGCACCTTTCTTCAGTTTTTATCTTTGTCTCTATCTATTCAGTGATTTCATTTCCTGAGTTTAACCCTTACTAAAGTCTCCCACCCAAATCTCATCCTCCTCAACCTATTGGTCACTTTCAGTACAACTGTTCTTTCTTTATTTGATTTTTTTCCCCCCTGGTTCTGTTACACCTGCAGTTTTGATGGATTCTGGGGAAAACAAGAAAATTCTTTGTAACATCCCTTCCAGTTTTCTGTGAAGCTCATCAGCCATCAGCAAGGCTAAATTCTTCTCCTCTCTCTTGTTAGGGTATTCACAAAAACAACAAAAAACCCTACCAGCCTTGAGGTTTATAATGTCATAGGAAAAAGATACAAAGCAATAAGATGTGATTTGAGGTTGATCGAATGTGTCAAGGGTGTGGAGGAAAAGAGTGCAAAACCCATATGAGCGCAAAGGTACAATATTGCAAGCATTATGTTATTGGATGAAACAGTATATCAAAGTAATTTCAGGTCAGCCTCCTGGCTACTAAAACTGCACTTAATTTCCATTTGCAATACTGTAGTTTAAGAACATAAAGACTTATATATTAAGAAAGGTTAAACTGGATGCAACAGGAAGTCAAGCATTAAATATTCGTTATACCATATTTTTGTTTAAAATAGCTATTTAATAGTGTAGAGGAAAGGCTCAGTCAGGGCTTAAAACAGTAATTGAGCACCTGGTGGGAAGGCAGGGCCGACCCGTGGGAGCTCAGGTACAGCAATGCAGCTGAATGACGGAGTGGTGAAGTCAGGATCCACCCCTTCCCAGCCCTCATTTAAGGGATGGCAGTGGAAGGAAGGGCATTTCTTGATGGAGGTTTCTGTAGAATCTGTGCCCTTCTGAAGGTAAGCAGTTTTTTTTTTGTGTGTGGCTGTTCTGTTTGAGCAAATCCTTGCTTGCTGTATCTTGGGACTTTGCTGCTTTGTTGTTGTTGCTGTGCTTTCTATTGTGTTACACGTTTTGAGTTTTGGTCAGTTTAGTCCACTTTGTTTTTAGCCAGAAGAAAACGTTAAAGCTGAGTGAATAATGAGGTGAATTCAATTTTAGTCTGTGCTAAACAGATGTAGCTTACCAAGGTAAATTGCTATTGTATTAAAAACTTCTTGCTCAGGAATTTCTGAGCAACTCATTAAAAATACCCTATGGGTATTTTTGCTCTGTTAAACCCACTATCCTTTGGAGAGTAACTAGAACAGTTAGCACTTGAGAGGATCCTGTTTTCACTACAAAGTATTGTTCTGTTTTTTAGAGTCAGAGTTTAAATTTCCATCAACTTGGATAAAGTGCTTTATTTATCTAGTCCCCTACAAGAGAAAAACATTCAGCTGCTGTGTACACTGTGGAAGTACCTGAGGACATTGTCTGTCTCTTTCTAATGCATTTAAATGTATGTTTTTCTCTCCTTAAAGTAAAAGATATGCTGAAATACTGCCTGCTGTGAAGAGAAATTACCTGGAGAAGTTGCTGTCAGCAGACTGATGTCCTTCTTTTCTTATACAAAGGATTTCAACAACCTTGTTGAGTGGGACTGAAAAAGCAAATATATGAGCTCTTCTCTGCATGTGCTTTTCTGAATATCCTGCTGTTTTGTTCTGTGGCTTCCTTGGAATTAAGATTTGTCCTATTTGTGCTCCTGGCTGAAAGTAACGCTTGATGTGGTTTCAATACCTGTAGGTAATTGTTGGCTTACACACTCTGCCTTTAAAAAATAGTTCTTGTTTGTTAATGTAAGTGATTTGTGCAGAGGGCATGTTATGCATTTATGGAAGTTAATTAACAATAAACTACAAATCATTAACAAAACCACCTTCTATTGTCTCCTAAATTGTCCTGAACTCTTCTTCACACAGTTGAGCAGAAGTTAGAAGTGATCAAGGTCTGAGAAACTTCTGATGAAATATCTCTGTACATGAGAAAGTAGCACTTCTAGGATAGGAATTTCAACCAACAGAGTGAAGTCAGTAAGATTTTGCTCACTTAGTTTGTTCCGCTTCGTATCTTTTATTTGTGAAGCCTTATTGAAGCCTTACTGTGTGCTAAGCAAGTTTGTAGAAACGTGCAATTCTGAGAAATTTTGTTAATGACCCCTGCATGCTCCTTTTGCATGGTGAGCTGTCTGCCCTACAAGGGGGACAAAACTTCTCTCTGGACTCTTCAGATTCTTACAGGATGTCTCAGCACGATCGTTTGAGCCCATATTTACAGGAAAGAGCACAGTTTCTTATGCTTGTGGTGGTGTTCATATGCAATTACTTGGATATAGGCTTTCTGCATCTTTGAAGACAATGATAACCTTGGTAGAATTGATAATGTAAATTACAACTGATAAGTGAAGAGCCCCCAAGGGGGAAGGACTCTCTGCTTACCATTGGTTCTACGGAGAAGTCCTCCATCAAAGGTAACGAGGAGGGTAAATCTTAGCCCCTGACTTCAAACAAAGTGGCTTTTTACAGGAAATAAGCTGAACTAATTAACATCATGGTTAAATGTACTTGAATGAAAACACAAGGTCAGTAGCGTTGAACATTATTTGTGAATACAGAGAAGTTTTATATAAGCCTCAGTATTACCGTTTTCATTGGATGCTAAGTTGTCTTGTTAATGTGAGTCACTGGAGTAACTTGTACAGCAGAAGTCTGCTTTCTGGTGTTTATTTTTCTCCTTGATTTTCTTGTTGGTGTCCTTAAGATTTCAGTGTGACTCTTCTACAGGGCTTGGAGAAAATGCGTGGAAGTGTCAGTGTAATAAAGAAGGTAGAAAAACCAAGCAAAATCCAGATGTAATATAACAGTTATTAACTTCACTATCATTGCATCGTGAAAATACTATCTCAAAAAAAAGAAAGCATTGAAAGGCATTACTGACCTTCTGTGCCAAAAAATGCATAGCTTTCCTTTTGTAGATGTATTCCTTCTCCGCAGTACAGAGGGAAAGGTAAAGGTAGGTTACTTCTATCATACCTCATTGCAAAGTGCTTGCCCTACAACAACTCATCATTTCTACGTGAGGTAACTTGTACATTATAGTTAAGGTATGCTCACATGGCTTTGAAGTTATAAAAATATATGCTGCTTGTGGTGTACTGGCATGCAGCACTGATCTGCAGCAGGAACTCAGTTACTAAAATCTTGATGAGAATGCCAATGGCTGCACTAATGGAAGCACAGAGAAGAGTATCAAAATGATCAAAACGCTTCCAGTTCTGTTTTAATAACCTATTAAATTTTAGTAGCAGATACTGTTTGGGGGGAGGGGAAAGGACCTCCAAGGGATGTTTTTTCAGAGGTTAATGTTACTGAAATTTGGAGAAATAATTTCCCTGCTCCCAATCTTCTGTGCAGAAGCTCTTGCCCGAGGGACAGTGGATTGAGTTCCCCAAAGTTTAATGCCAGAGTTAAATGAAAGCCCAGAGACAAAAGTCTGTCACAGCTTCCAAAGCTGTACTTCTAATTCATCCTGTTTTCTAACTAACTGTTCTGAGGACACTGATCCTAAAGCAGAATTTGAGCTTGAAAGTGCTATAATTTAAAATTTCATTTGAGATAGTGGATACGTTCTATTGCATACGTAGTGTTCAAGACTAAAAGGCTTGGTTTTTTTTTTTTGTTGTTTGTTTTTTGTTTTTTAGCAGAAGCTTTTAATTAGCCTTTATATTTTACTCCATTGTGGCTGTTCTCTATAGGGCAGTAGTATAAATTATACAAAACAGGTTATTTCTATCTGTGGTATTAGATCTACAGAATTTAATGCAATGCTATGCTGTGTCAGTGTCAATCTGGTTATTTTTCCCTACCTCTTAGTAAATACCTGAGTGGTTGAATCCAGATACAGAGTTAAATAGCTAAAATTTGTTTGGGAATTGATCATGCTGAATGACCAGGCAAAAGAAAGTCCTGAGCTTGTGGAATAAAAAATAACATGTTAAAAGAATTTCATCTTGTTTCAGTAATCTCACCTTAAGTGTATTTCTGAAGTCCTTGTGATGGCATATCTAGCACTTGTGCATTTAAGCATGAAGGTTTAGATTTCTTATAATGTAATTGTTAATGATGAACGTCCAGAGTTGTCATGGTTTTTGTTTTCTGTTATTGGTATTCCGTGTCATGACATGTAGTGCACTGGGACTTAAAGTTTTAATGCTCCAGTTCTGTGGATCATGGTTATTTCTGGGTATAGCAGTCCCTGAAGAGAAGGAGGACTACGTACCCCAGATGACTGTTCTGTTTCCATTTTCCATTCAGAGGGAAAGACAACACTGTTTGCATATTACAAGATGTCCTCTCTTCCCTTTCTGTTCGTCTCTGCAGCATATGTACTTTCTAGCTGTCTTGTCTTCAGCATTTCAGAAAGGCCTTTGGTTTTTGGACACAATCTCTCTCACTGTATGTATTGATCTCAATTCAAATTCTATTGCACTATATTATGTTGTCATGCATCGTGATATTGTATTTAGTAAATTAACTTTCCTCCTCATCTTGTTGTCACTGTCTCATTTTTAGGCATATCTCCCTCCTCTTCCCCCTTTTTCCTCTATCCTGGGGCATGGGTTTGCAGGTCTCCCTGCCCCAGCAGTCATGGAACTGCCTGTAAACAGTTTAACATAAGTACAAAAGATGATTTAATGCACTACGCTCTTGCAGAGATAAGTTCTGGAGCAAATACCAGCACTAAGCCACATGCAAATAAACCCACAACCCTCAAAACCTGAAATATTAACGCCTCATACTGACACCAGAAAAATGATGTGTCCCGGGTAAAGACAAAACTGGATCTCTCTCCACCTCTTGCTAAGAGTGTGAGACAGCACCTGTAAAGGTAATCTTCAGCTTATCTGTCACATCCAGATCCCATGGAGGAAAGCAATCAGCACAAACAAGAAGCAAAGCAGTGCTTGGCTTTCTCCTTGACAGACTTGAGTCAGCCACCTCAATGGCCAGATTAGCTCGGCACTTTCAGTTGGCTTTTGGCAGTTAATGAGCAGACTGTCATCTTAAAATCACCTCTATTTCGTATTTGTTCTCACAAATATACAAACCTAGGTATAGCCGCACTCTTCCTGTCTATGCATCTTTTGCCTTTAATCCAAGTATGGCTCCATTTTACCAAGTCTGTCGTTGCAAGAATAAAGTGGGTTATTGAATGTGTCCCAGGAAAAACTGAGGTTTAGCTACTTAAACAGGCTGTGCAATTAAGTACACAATGAAAGTGGATCCTTGAATGCTCTGCTTCAAATGGAGAGATGCATTTTTTTCATTCCGTATCACAGTTGTCCAATACAACAATATACTTCATGTCACTGTTGCAGAAGTTTTCCCAGGTGCAGTATTGTGAGGAATATCACCTTTTTGCAAATATCCAAGTTACAGTAGGTAGTTTAGAGCAGCAGAGGTCAGATTCACCTGTTCTAGTCAGCCATGTTCCGGGATGATACACGGTGCTCCTAATGGGAGCTGTCTCTGGTTAAGTAACGCTCGGGTCAAGTTTAAGGAATGCTTAAAGTTCATTGAAAATTGCTGCCAGTGAAATTCCCCAAGGCAGCCTGACCCAGCTCCCATCTTCTAAGAATGACTGTATCACTTCACAGTTTCAAACGTGTGTCTGTTCAACCGCTATGTAATCAATTATTCTAGGCAAAATTAACCGTTAAGCAACTGAGCAACAACAAATCGCTCAGCATGAAAGCAGGTAACAAAGACCTGAGGAGCCCATTCTGTTTTATGTACCACAGCTTCTGACAGCGTTAAGTCACCCGGTGGTTTGTAGGCACAAAGCGGTCTGAGAGGAACCTCCCACAACTTCTGTGGGATTCTTGGTCAGATTCTATAGCCCAAGACCTCTTTTCTTCAAGCAGACGTGCCCGTTCACAGGCAGTATGTTCTGAAAGGAAGGGATGCATGTAAATAACTCATCCACAAGCCGAGCAGTTGTACGTGCTAGTAACCAGTCATTGGAGTTTACAAATACATGAACTAAATAGCTTTGGGAGGCAAATGTTTTCACAAGCTGTTCCCGAAGCTGCATTTGCACGGGAAGATCGCTGTCATCATTTTTCTTAATCTTGCCAAGGCAGAAGTGTGGTCAGAAATCACTTGTTTTATTATTATTTGGAACACTGGACTATCTGTGCTATCAAAACGTTTTATTTGCATCGTGTGTAATCCACGGTGAAACCATCTAGTGTTTATAATGCTTGATTACAGACTGTTTCATGGAAGAGGTTAGATGTAGAAGTGGTTTCATTTTAGTTTTGGGTGACAGCACTGAGGAGTGTTTAACACCCATGTTTCCTCTGAGTACCTTCTCGTTCTGACCGAGGATTCAGAGGGTCTCTTTTCAGCTCACCCTTTGCATGCGACTAATTGTAATGCCAAGTTCAGTTGGGATGTTTAGATACGCGAGGTGAGGCGTGTTGCATTGATTAAAATATGCAACTATTGGTAAAGAGGTGACAGCTCACAAGAATAGTTGCCAGCTCTGCGCTGCGATGCTCTTTGTCTCCCACAGTAATTCCCTTGCAACATTTGCATAAATGTAAGGGGTTTGCTCATCTACGTGATGATCTGGCACTGAACCTGCTTCTTGTGCTGGAGGATGTTACCGTACATCATGCACCCTCAGCAGGATCTCTTGCCTCACTCTGCACATTCAGGTCTCCCTTCTTTTCACATGTGGCACTGCTGATGGCTGTGAGAACGTACCCATAACAGCATATAATCAAAACTTTCACAGTTCTACCATCAGAAGAAATAAAAATGAGCGTTTTAAGATCGAAACTGCTACGTAAAGTGAATTTTGTCTCTGAAGTCTTCACAGACTATCTCTGCCCTTAACTGGGTATTACTGAAATGTCACCAAAAGTCCTGCTTGTGATTTATAAGACACGTGAACGTAGTCCTGAGCAGCACCACAGAGAAGCGTTTGTAAAGCTCCGCTTCAAATTTCACTGGCTGGCAATTTTCTCGTCTGTATCGTTAACCCGTTTAGACATTTGTCACATCATTACTCCTACATTTCCACTGCCATATTTTGTCACGTTTTCTCTGAGGTATAAAGCTTTTTTTACAGGTTCAACAAACCTTTTTTTTTTTTTTTTTTCCTTTCCTTTTGTTTGGACATGGGGCAAGGGAAAGAGGAGCAGACGGCAGGCAGCGGAGGCCTCGGGAAACCTAAGGCTATTGCTCCTTTCGTGTCAAATGCAAAGTGACCCGTTTGAATGAGGCACAATTATTTATCTTACTAATGAGTCTCACAATGAGGTGAAAAGGAGAAGCACATAACTGTAATTCAAAGTATCATTTAAATCCCTAATTTTGATCTAGATTCCGCACACCTAACTGTCAAGGCTGAGGGCCGGCCCTAACGAGGCCGGCTGCGCTAACGAGGCATCCAACGACTCCCAGGTCTCGCGGGGCCGCGCACAGCTGCGCTCCGGGCGGGGCCGCCCCCAAAGCCTGTTAAGCCCCGCCGGAGGCTGCTGGCGTTGAGAAGCGGTGCGGAGGGCGCTGCTTTTAAAACGGAGCCTTGGGATTCTCGTTTCATGCTCTCGTGTCGTTTTGTTTCAGGTTGCTGTGGGACCTCTGGCGGTAAGGCTCAGCCCAAACCAGTGAGCGGTTGTGGCAGTAAGGGGACCGCGGAGGTGACAAGCGCTCGGGAGCAGTTGGGGTCTCTCGGGCTGCAGCAGGGGGCAGCCGGGCTGTCGGACCCCGTTACGTTTGCAGTCGATGTATCGTCGCTCCCATCGCGTTTTCGGAGGGGGCTGGCGCAGCCCCAGGGTTTTTTAGCGGGTGCTTCAATTCTTCAAGTTCTCTTCGGTAGGAGCGAGTGAGAGGCGGTGCCGTGTTCCTGCAGCCTCGGTGCTCCTGGGTGTAAGAAGCAACGCGAAGAGCTGCTGAAACGTAGGTTTTCTTCTATTGCAGGCCGAGCAAGGACTGTGGCAGAGCTTCTCCCGAAGCGGTGAGTGTTTGGGAGTCACTTGGTGAGACCTCTCTCTTCAGGGCTTGTGTAGGAGCAGCAGCCTTCCTCTGTGTTTCTCTGTGTCTTTGGGATCGGCACGGCGCCCTGCTGGGCTCCGCGTGGTTTTTCAGAAGGGCCGGCACGGGGCTGCCGCCCAACTGCCTGAGACCGAGCACGACTCCGGGGTGCCCTCGGCTCCCGAGGAGGGTTTTGCGGGTGCCTCCAGCCTCCCGTTCCCAGTGGTGGGAGCGAGCAAGATGAGGCCGTGTGTTTTTTCTTTTCTCCTCCTTCACGTGTAATTTCAGGAGCGTGATTTTGTTTCCAGAGTGGAGACCCGGTGGGGCAGCTTGCACAATTGGAATGCTGTTGCGGATGGCTCTGCTCTTCTTAGGTAAGACGAACCAGCAAGGTGGTGGAGTTGCTCTTCCAGTGAGAGAATGGGAACGTATTGAGCTCTGCCTAGAGATGAATGAAGAGGTAGTGGAGCGCTTGCATGTGAGGCTCCAGAGGCAGGTAAGTCTGGGAACATCATCGAGGGGGTGTTTGTTTGCAGACCAGGATGAGGAAGTTGACGAGACCTTCTGCACACAGCTGAAGTTAGCCTCACATCTGTGGACATTAGTTGTCATGGTAGACTTGAACCACCCTGCCAGCTGTGCTCATTCTGGGAGGTTCCTGCAATGTGTTGAAGATAAAATAATCTGATGGAGCCATTGAGGAGAGGGGTGCTGCTGGAGCTCCCTCTCCCTGTTGTTCAAGGGCTGCTTGAGGGCCATGAACATTGGGGTGGCATCGAGTGTGGCTGTGTTCAGGATCTTGCGTGGAAGATGCAAAACAGTGAATAGTTTTGAAACAGTAGACTTTGAGGGAGCCAAGTTAGTCCTTTTACGGGGCTTGCTTGGAGGTATCCCTTGGGTTTGACCAGAGGAAGGGATCCTGTGAGCAATTGTTGATGCTGGAGTGTTGCTTCCTCCATGCTCAGGTGTGGTGCATTCTGAAAAGAAAAGAACTGTGTGGCAATGGCTGGAGACTTGCAGGGGTGGATAAGGAAGGGAGGTCAAGGCTAACAGAAGTTTGTCAGTTTTTCAACAGGAAAAAGGAGAGTACAGAATGTGCGGGCCTCTGCTTTACAAGGTTGGTGCCAGAATGCCTTTTTTGCTTCAGCGATCACTGCTGAGACCGCTCATTGGGAACCCTGGATTCTGGCAGAACCGGCCAAAGATCATTTAGTCAAAATGAATGCCAGCAAATCCCTGAGCTGTAATGGGATATGGCTGTGTGTGTGCTGCGGGAGCTCTCACATTTGTTCTGATCTTTCCTTTAGGAAAATGGCTGAAGACTGGAGGAAAAATGATGTCTCTGCAGCCTGGAGAAAGGGCAAGAAGGATGGCTTTATTTCCTTTCCTGGAAAGATGATATAACAGCTTGTTCTAGATGTCATCTCCAAGTGACTGGAAGAGAGGAAATGCCTAAGGAGCAGCCAGGGTGGGTTCACTGTGTTAGGGAAGTGGGGTGTTTACATTCTTTGTGGTTTTGTGATCTTGTTGCAGGGTGAAGGATAACATGCCAGTTGTGGGGACCCACAGGTTCAAGTCTGGGGTGAGGAATCCAAGTGGTGTCTCTGGATCAAGGTGAGCTGTATATTTGGATCTCTTTGTTGTGTGCTCTTTTTACAGGTCTGAATGGAGTTAGGTGAGCAGTCCTTCTCTGCTGGAGTTTGGGGTCCTGGCAGTGGCTGCTGTGTTGGCTTTTGGTGCTTCTGAGGTTTGTTTTGGTTATTGCAATTAGTATCTTGGGTGGAGGGGAGCACTTAATGTGGTGGGTTGGTTTGCTTGTCTTTCTGTTCTTTAGTTTTAGTTTCTGTCTAGTTTTGTTTGGCTTGGGTGGTTGTAGGTTTTAATATGTATTTGAACAGCCAGAAACATTGCCCACACTGTGTGGGTCCCTCAGATTGCCCTGTTGTGGGCCATAATGTCATCTTTTATCATCATAACTTTCAATTAAATCATGACTTTTTATAGGGGGAGTTGGAAATTCCTATTGCCCTTGGAAAACTATTAAAAGATAGCGCTGGAAAATGTAGAAGCCATCCGAACACTCTGGTGCTGTAGGAAATGTGTCCCCATGCAGCTCTCCAATGGGAAGTGTGTCATTGCTTCCAGGCTTTTGCAGCAATTGGTACCTACCTGTCTGCTTAACAGGCAGAAGCCCTAATATTAAGGTGAGAGAGCGGTTTCTTGGTGCAGTTTCTTCTGCTGCCTTCAGGAAACGTGTTCTTGTTGGGGGTGGAGTGGATGAAAAGGCTTTAACCAGTATTTCTTTTTATTGACAGATCACTTTATAATCAAAACAGAAGCAAACAAACAACAAAACAACACATGTAGAAGTGAATTAGAGGAGGCAATTCTACCTGTGTTTTAAGCTTTCTTTTTTTCTATCCTTTTCAGCATCTCATTAGAAGAGCAGTAAATGGTCCCGTCAATGCTTCCAAAAATGTTGAGATGAAGCAGCTTTTCCACTCATGGAAGGCTTGAGATCCCTCAAAAACTTCACTAGAGTGTTCCTTCAGGTTAGCCATGCCCCTAGCACTTAAGTTTCTTATCTGGAATCCCAGCAAAATGGACTCGAGTACCTGCCTGAAGAAGATTGATTTTTGGGAGGCTCGTTTTCTTCGTTAGGTGAGAATTTGTGCATTGGATGAAGGAAAGGTTACCAGTGAAAGCTATCTGAAAACATTCATTTTTACAAACTGAAAATAAAGAAGAGAAAGGAGGAAATCAGTTTCAGTAGAACATTTTTCAGCAACGGTCCCTTGTGTGGAAATATTTCCAACAATATGTAGTCTACAGTTTGCTGTCTAAATCTCATGTTAGAGGACCAAGATTCTGCTGGCTTTTGGAACATCTCTGAAGCCATGTGTAACCTACAGTCATCATTATCCATTTCCTGGGCAAGTTTATAACTTTGGATCTCTCCTGCTTACACGGATTCTTCTCTACATAAATGAACATCCCTTCAGTAAGACAGAACAAAACCCGAGCCCCTTTTTGGATTCCAGATGCAGAAACGTTCGATTCTGCTAAGCAGTGTGAAACAGCGTATTTGTATCCATCTCCTGCCCGAGCTTTTTTTCTCCGCGGTAAGCACCAGCCTGCAATCTTCGGTAGTTCCGATAGAGGGCAATACCATAAAGCCATTTACGAAAGGCTCTTCAAGGCAGCTGCTGTAACTGGCTCCTACAGAACGCCTTAAGGCTTTCTTGCTCTGGGTTGGCGTTCTGATGCCAAATATTTAGTTAAATATTTTTGTTTGATCCCAGAAAAGCTCATACTGCTTATTTCTTTTTTGACAGCACAAATGCACAGGCGCATTCTAACCACCTGAAAACATCTCTATGGAAAAATCATGGCAAACCCTCTTTGCTACCACTTTTTTTTTTTTCCTCCTCATCCTCAGCCATCCGTTTGAGTGTTACACTATGCCTCACATCCATAAGGAATCTTTACGTTCATGTGTAGTTTTAAAACGTCTCATAGGAATCTCCAGCAATAGGTTAATGGGCACATCGGAAGCAAATCAATTCAAAGTACAGGATAAATGTTATGTAGTTCTCCCTAGGGCTTTGCTATTCAAACATGCCTCTGTGCAGGTAGATATTCATGTGTGTATGAAATGAAAAATTCACCTTCAAAGCATAACAAAGGGAAACCTGCTCTGAGATCATTCGTAGGAAAGCATGATTACACAGTATGTAAGTTAACGGGTGGTGAGAGATGACGACACATTTGTAAGGGTGATCCCAGTAATAAGGCTCTGTGGTTTGATTTACTGAAGTTTAGACACATTTGATTAATGATGAGCTCTTTGAAAGATAACCGTGTCTTCCAGGACAAGAACAGAACAATCACCTGGCTGATTTCATACAACCTCACAACACTACCATGAACTGTATGAGAGTGTCATAATTCATGCAAGAACAATATTCCCCCCTGAGCTTTACAACCAGTCCAGATAACACCAAGAACAGCTGGTAAGTCTGACAGTGCAATTTCCCCTTTCCTCGGGTGTAAAGAGACAAAAGTATGAAGCAGCTGGAAAACATATTCAAACTATGACAGGCATCATGTCACAGCAAACATGTCAGGTAAGCTCAGGGCAAAGCAGTACCTTTACTTCTTCCATTCTTTCTTTCATTTGTAACATGAGTGGATGGAAATGCTTAACAAAGTGATAAGGAATCTCTCTGAATGTTTACATAGCTCCCATCAATACACAGACTTGCTCTGTATAACAAGTAATTCACTACAGTGTACTAAAAAAAATAATAATTTTAAAAAAAAATTCTTTTCACTGCATTTGGCATTTTTAGCTCCCTGTGTTGATTTTCCTTAGATAATAGAGCAGTGAAGACAATTGCATGCAGCAGTAGAGGATAGGGTTAAGATACTAACACCACCTTTTAAAAAAGGGGGAAAGAAGCACGCACTAGATGTTCCACATCTAAAACTGGATACTGCAGTCAATGTTTAAGAAATGCTTGCTTCTATCAGAACCCTATTTAACCACCACTTCATTTCCAAAGTACCATGGTTTTAGGATTTTTGTTATCAGTATTCCACATCTTAACATCATGCACTGGGAGAAGAACTACATACCCCAGAGGACAATTCACTGGTCTTTTTTCCCTTGAGAGGGAAAGATAAAACTGTTTACAGGTCACGAGCCATCCCCTCGTGCAGCACTCAACACACAGCAGAATCATCCACAGACACACTAATTTGTAATTAGTGGGTCAGTTACACCTGCAATGCAGGTTTATGCATTGTAAAAACCATTTGTAATGCCAGACCTTATATTAGTACCTAATAATTCCAAATACCCATGGACTGGCACATCAAAATATGAGTGTACAATGTCAATTCTTGTCGTGAAAATGTCAAGAAGAAAGTTTGAAGAGTTAAAAAAAAATGAAGAAAATGATGCGACATTTTAATAGAAAGGCTTTGGAAATGCTAGCAAGGAGGATGACAAACTTATATCATCAATGTTTTGTCTGGTTGTTTGTTTGTTTGTTTTTAAATGCTTTGGCAAATACACGTGACAGAAACATGGTGAGTCAAGTAATCATTTCTTGAAAAAAATGGTGTTAGAGACTCCACACTTTTTATCTAAGCTCATCACCCTCAGACAGAATCCTGAATGTTTTTGTGCAGAGACAACAGTTCTGCTTTCCCTTTCTTTTTTTCCTTGCAGTTTTTATGATAAAGAGTAGTGAGACATGGGGACAGGTTGTCCAGAGAGGTGGTTGATGGCCCAAGCTGAGATGCATTAAAGGTGAGCCTGGTCAGGGTTCTGAGCAACCTGATCGAGCTGTAGGTGTCTCTGATCATTGTACAGCAGTCAGACTGGGTGAGCTTTAAAGGTCCCTTCCAACCCAAATGATTCTATGATTCTAATTCATTCCCTATCCTTCCCTAATGCCAACCTTTCAGACTCCTATCAATGAATCAAAAGAAAATTAATGGGCATTAAATAACTAAAGAACAGTGAACAGTCTTGGATTTCATGTAACTTCATTATACCGCGTTAAGGCATCATGCCCAATCTCAGTGACCTACACAAACAAACAAACAAACGCACACAACATGAAACCACTGAAAATTTCACAATTCCCTCTTATTTTTATCTTGCAATTTTATAAGGAAAATAAGAGAATGAGTTGCATTGCTTACAGGCATTTGGAGAGTACAGAAAACAATACTGTAAAGGTGACACTGGCTGTATTAGAAATTTTATTCTATTAGAAATTTGGGCTTCAAAACCAATATCATGTTTTGTAGCACAGTCGCTGTCTCCTGTAAAAACATAGTCTCTTCTCAAAGAAAAATAACAACAGAACCACCAAAAAAACCCCAAACATTGCCAGCGTGTGAGAAGATGGTCACAAGGATGGACTTGAAGACTAACAAAGAGCTACAGTTACAGGTGCATCTTAGATGTCAAACTTCACTGAAGAAATAACTTCCCTTTGGTTTCTCACTTGGGTGCCTTAGACAGTATTTCTCAACTCAGAAGATTATCTCACACTTCACTAGCTCTGGTACCTCATGGTCATCATCTGCTATGAACTCTTTCTGCACTTCACAAATACACTATAGGGAACAGAACTGTCCTGAAAGATAAACAAACAGACAAAAGCTAAAGAAGACCACGGCCATTTTCATCCCAGTAGCTACTGCTTTCCTTATATTTCAGACTTCCCCAAATTTTATTTTAAGCATTGTTCAGGGAAAATACAGATAAGCAGCCTACAAAAGAGTTTATTTTTTCCTATTCTTGAGATAGGATCACAAGTCCTTGCAAGATCGTAAAATGCATATGTAATCATTAGGCCATGCACCTAAAACCACTCATGCTGTGAGTACGTATAAGGACTTCTCCAAAATTAATGCCTCCTGTTTTCTTACTTCAGCCTATGAAGTCATAGCCAGATGTTGATGATGCGGCTGTAGACACTGAACCTTCCCACCAGTACTACAAAACATGAGACAGATGGCAGCAGAAGGGCACTCTGCAAAATCGTGTCTGACATGGAAGTGCAGGTGAAGCAAAGGTGTGGAATTCAACTGCTCTGCAAGGCACTGTAACATAGCGCCGACTGATTAAGAGATCTGAATTTTCAGAGCCATTGTCACGATTCAGCAAGAATCAGGAGTTGTTCAGGGATGCATATATATTGCTCATTCTCACACAGGAATTCAATCGTCTACATGCTTTAATTTCTGCACAGATACTTGATTCTTAATTTTAATTGAGAATTTGAGACTATTTTTCTTAACTAGGAAAAAAAAAACAACAGCCTGATTTGCTGAAATGTAAAATTCTTAAATTAAAAAAAAATCTCTTCCATTTTTAGCTGGGGAAGGAACACTGGTATGGATCTGCGCTTAACATAGGAAAACTGAACTCTGTTCCAAAATAATTACTAGCCTAGCTACAAGATATAACATATGAAATCTTTATAAAAATTCCTGTGAAGTCCCATTTTCCAGGGGAGATCTCCAGCTCTGAAGTATCAGTTTTTCGGATATTTTTTTCTGGTTTTATTCTATTTATTTCAAAATTACAAAAAACTACCTTGCATATATGTAGAAACATTATGTTATCCAGTTACTTGTTTTGTACGTTCAAAGATCAGAGTTACTCTCGGTTATTACATGACTTTCATTAACAGCTCCTCACACTGTACTTCCCCACGTCAAATGACCACCTCTTCTTAACATCAAAATGCAAATTTTTGAGCCTCTGTGGCAAAAAGCCATTATATTTTGGTAATGATTTTAAAAGCAATTAAAAAGCTTAAAATCAACATGAAATATTCTGGGAAACATGCAGATGTGTTAACACATATGAATGCACAGCCAAGGTTTTCTTGTTAGTTAAAAAGCCAAACCCCTTAAATGGAAGAGAAATTCCTTGATCCACCTGAATTGGATACATTTTGGCAGTGGTAGAGCTGATTTATTATTGCATTTTTTGATAAAATGTAAGGCATCAGAAACATAGTTTTTAAGTAATGTTTTCACAGAAAAGGCTTCATTGGAAACACTTGTGGGAAAACACTTCTGGACTTTCATTTTCAGTGATATTTAATTTAATTTACGTATTTATTTAACTTATTTAATCTCTCCCAGGAATATCACTTTCTCTGTTGTTAACTGACTAGTGTCTCTACTTTCCAAACTACCACGTCCTCTTGAAAAATTACTCACATCACCAGCATTGCCATCAGACAGATTTTCTGCCGATAATGTGGTAAAAGATACAAGCATACCAAATTCCACATGCTCAGTTCCATTCACTGTTTTTAAGAGGAAAGTTCTGTATTTTTTCCATTTATTTTCCTAC